TTTTCTCTTGTTTTTGAGGCTGGCTTCTGAGTTTTCCAAGAAAATTACCGAAAAAGGAAATTTTTTTAAGGAAATTTTTTGACTATAAAGAATTCTATTGAAAAACTATAAATAAATATATATATATATATTGATATATGAACTCTTTCTGCTGATCCTCTAACCATACACAAAAAGATATTCACAAGAAATTTTATATTTCTTGGCTAATAAAGTCTTATAACTTTCCTTAAATCAACTTGAAGGAACCTTTCAAGAGTTATTCTTATCTCCTTCTTTTTTCTTGTAAACAATCTTCTTCAAATAAAAGTCATGAATATATCTTTCCTACTAATGGCAAGAAAGTTTTTAAAGAAAGAAGAACTGAAGTGCTACTACATATCTACTTGTTGAAGAAACATTACAAAACTCATCTGATAATGAGAAACTTATCTTGAAAGCAACCATCCATTCTCACATCATATACTTGCTCTAAAAGTACTCTTTCTTAGTTTCTTTGGGGAATTTTGTCTACTTCAATCTGAACCTGAATTTTGAATAGCACAAAGTTTCTTAAGTAATAATTGGTCAGCAGAAAATATATCAATAAAAGAATATAAACAAGCTCCCATTGACTATCTCATATGTATAAATGCATTTACTCAATACTCGTAAGAATCTGAAGTCCACTATAAATCATTTGTTTATTGTGCAGATTAATACAGAACATAAATACCTATGATGTCATTGGCTATACAGAAAGAATAGTACTGAATTAGAACATATTGGATAAAAAACATTAGCTTTCCACTTCTCCTCTCCTACTTCAGTGAACTCAAGTTAAAAGAAAATGACCTTATAGAATAAGATCCTTTTAGGAGAGTTTTGGATATCTATTACCTCTTTTTTAAAAACATATCTGCCACTCTTTTAAACAACAAAGATTACTTCATTAAATTGAATACATAAGACTCCACAAATCTTAACTGAGTTAGAATTAAGAAATAATTTTATATTAAATGGTCACATAGTTATCCTATTCTGATTGGATAAGATGTAAATAGATACCTCTTGTACTATTAATTGATCTGTAAATCCTTAGACAGTATAGGGAATTACTTATTCTGGTTGTTCCTAGGACTTATCTTAACTCTAATAAAGTTTCCGAACTGGCACAGAAATGAGCTAACACTTCAAAAAAAATAATAATGCATGCTATATAAATTACTATTTTGTATTAATTATTGGATCTATCCTATGAACCAATGAGTCACAATTTGTATCACATATGTCATATAATCTAAAAATAGAATTAGAGTAACATAATAGACAAGAACTATAGATAATAACTAAAGGAAAATATAACCATTAATTTGTTAACAATATATATATTTTTACTATATCTTAGAAAATATTATATAGTTCATTTTTTTTAACTTCTTTATAGATACTGTTTAAAAGATAAATAGATTTACTATACTTTCTTCTTATAAATTAATAAAATTTAATCCATGTAATACAGTATATTATACTTTTTATATATTGTTACTAATACTTGATTATTATTTTAATAAAGTAATTTTTTGCTATTTTCAATAAAATGCTAAATCTTTTATTATCTAATTTACAATTTCAAATTTTGGCTTTGGTATTGAATAAATATTGATATTTTTTTTAAAAAAATTTTGTTTTTTTTTTCTCAATCATATTGAAGAACTAAATGAAAAGATGGGTTTTTTTAATCCTAAGTTATGAGTATTTCATAGTCAATTAATGAAAAATTTAAGGCCTCTTTATTTAAGAGATCTTTTAATATTTTTTTTAATTCTTATAAGTTTTTTTTTTATTAATAATAGATACTAATTTTTTTATTCATAATTTAGGCTAGTATCTTTTTTTATTCTAAATTTATATCTTTAAAGTTTATATTTCTCTTTTTAAAAGTCGTTTAATAATAAAACTTAACTGTTTACTTGATAATCTAAAAATTAATAGCTATATAATCAAAACTGGTTTGTTTTTATTCAAGATACAATCAAAAATAATCTTGAATCTTATTTAATTAAAAATTAAACTTAATATTTTTTTTAATTGATTTTAAAATATTTATATTTAATTTATAATATCTTATATATTTAATTCTTAATATATAAGCTTTCTTTCTTTTTTAAGCTATTTTCAAGATTTATTCAATTTTAGTTATTTTCTTCAGTTATAATTTAATATTATTAGTCTCTTAAGAAATGAATAATTTTTAATATATATTTTTATATAATTTTAGAAAATTGTTGATTCATTTAAAAAGTTCTTTTTTAATTAAAGATTATTAGTTGACTTGAGTTTTTTTGAGTAAGTAATAGATTTTTTTAGCTTTCTATAGACTTTGTAGTTTTGTATAGAAATAATTATACCTATTTTTAATTTGTTTTAAGCAATAAAATATATTTTTTCTTTAATATTTTATCAATTTCTTTAATTATCATTATTATTATCTATTATTATACCTTATCTAATATCTGGGATGAATTTTAATTTGACTTAATTACTATAAATAGTTGTTCTAAGTTATCTAGATTGGTATTTATTTACTATTTATACATTTTCTACTATTTTGCAATTAAGTTGATAGTGTCTAGAATTCTTATATTTATGCTTCTTTATTGTTTTAGAACTTTTTCTTGAAGCAAGTTATTGTTTATAAGTCTTACTATGAAAAGAGTATAATCTTTATCTATTGTTGTTTTTATCAAGAAGTTATAAAAATCATGTATGCATTTTAGCCCAATATTTGTAAACATCTATATATGGTTAATTACAATATGTTAAAAGTACTGTATCTTATTAGACCATATGATGATATTATTGTTTACCTTCCATATTTTTAGGTTATTGATAAAGTTCTAATCTTCAAGAAGATTGAATAAATTATATTATTACTAAAGTAAAGAGTTATAAAATTTGTTTCTCAAAATAATTTAAAAATCCCTTATATTTATGATATAGATTAAACAAATTTTTCATAAAAAAAAAATTAAAATTGATTTGAACTTGTTAATAATATTATTATTACTCGGTAAATTTTATTTTTAAGAATTTTAATAATGAAATATATTGTAAGTAACAAGATCTTAATATTAATTTTCCAGCACAATATAAAGTTCTTTACAAGATCGCATCTTAAAATTTTATAGTAAAACATATTAAATATTAACAATATATGCAAAAAGTTTTTTTTGTTTAATACTCGTAATAAATTTTATTAATAATAACTCAACAACACGAATCACTCCTTATACACTATTGACTCGTTTTTTAGACGAAAAAGATAACTGTGTATCACATTGTTTGACTTGCAGTAAGTTCGGAATGGCATATTAATATGCATGCACCCGTCTATTCCCCTGATCTTATTTTAGACATAGGCAGTTGTGGGAATGTCACACACATATCGTAGCATCTACGCAAAATGACCTTTTTTGTGATAATGCTGTACATATTGTGTACTGCTAAACTTTATTTTCTAGAATATTAATGCATCAATATACATATGCGTTTTCAAAAAAAAAGGAGAGATCCAAAAAGGGAACATAATTTAAAATTATATCCCGTTCGAAATTTCTTGATGCACTTTCTCACGATCATCCTAATCGATTTTCTTTTGAATACACAGCGATAGTGGAATTCTGTCCTACTCATTTTCTGACACCACTACTGCGCTTTATTCACATCCGCCGCCAGCAATGGGATTCTTTCTAATGCGCTCTTTTTCTCAGAATAATATTTTATCGAAGGCTGTGGCAATTCAACGTACGGCAGTACGTATGCAATCCATCGTATCTTTGGTCCCTTGCCAAGTATCATCGAACGTTCGTGCATTATAAGCACACAGATGAGATAGCTTCCGTAGGAGGCGGTGAGATGCCTATAATAAGGAATTGTTCGAGAGGAGGCAAAAAAAAAAAAAAAAAGTCTCCTTAGAAATTTCCTTAATCTTGCATCAATACATTTTTAGACGTATAGAAATTCGACTTACCACCAAGCATGCAATTGGGGATTCGGCATATTATATGGCAACGAGCTCATGTGTGAACATAGATGCAGATCCACATGCCACCCAATGTATCCAATCAAGAATACCAAAGTTCCCGACATCCAGAGCCTTCGTACACCTTGTTCGGCCTTGGGTCTTAGAACAATTGCGACGGTGTGCAAGTAAACCGTTAAGGACATCACTATGAAAGACCCTGGGGATGCATTATTTAGTGATATGTGAGATAGGAATTAATGAGAATCTTTTTTAAAAAGGGGAACCAACCAACCTTGAAAAACATAAAACTCGATCAATTGCATCATTCCATCCTGGTGATGCCTACCAGAAATCACCATTATTATGGTAATAACAAGCCCCCAAATAGACAACGCCACTGGGAACCAATTACCATATTTTCTCTCTTTTTGGTTTTCTATCGCCGAATAACACAAAACATGCACGCAGAACATCATGGGTACTTCGTCGAATAATTGTAACGAAAATAACAGGGTACCATGAAATAACATTGACCCTATGCCTACTACGGAAATCCTGTTGTCAAATGAAAGAAAATTGAAATTCACGACATAAAATAAATTTCTCATTCTTCTCCTTCATGTACTCACGTGGCGAAGCACACCAGGAACCTGCGTTCGAACTCCCGGACATGCAAGAAAACTCCTAATATTCCGGCACTGACCATCCACAATGATGAGAAGGTATTGAAAAATTCTGCAACATAGTGAGTGACGGCATAATTTTCTTCACACCAATCTTATTGAAGAGAGTTTCAAATGAATGACATTAAAAGAATAAAATAGCGTAAAACGAAACGACATATTACAATCTATTGCGAATATAATATTTTGTCTTTACTTACCAACTGTTCGAGAATATTGAAAGCGAATTGCAAGAGTAATCACATTAAATAAGGTGCAAACAACAACAAAAATTTGGCTAAAATAATGAAGCGCACCTGTTGCCGTCGGTTTACCCCAAAATCCTATTATTTCGTTTCTGGCTTGACTCATTTCTAATTACTCGGGTGATCACGACAAGTTTATTATTAAGACCGAGTGCAATCAAATATTCATGACTTAAAATATGTTAATGAATGTAATGGAAGGACAAGAAAGAAAACAGTATTAGAGGAAAAATCGATGCTTCGTTCGAAATGAAGTTTATATTCGGTAAGACGATCTTTAAAAATAAAAATTTCTGCAGGAATTCTATCCATAGAATTTATCGATGTAACTCTCAACCAAATTTTGTACAATAATCACGAAACAAATCTTGCTAAAATATTGATTTTTTCTCGTTAATTCTCCCTATTGTGCATCGACCCTTCCCGCCCTTATGTTACATGTTGGTGTGATCTTATTAACGGGTTAACCCACTCTACCCGTTATTATATATCTTGTTGTATACTACTCTTGTAAAGAAAAAAAAAAGAATACTAATTACCCTTTTTGCGTATTTCCGTCCAAGATTCTTTCGGGCTAATATTATTTTGGAAATTATAGTGAGCCTTGTTGTAATGAGGCGCATGTGATGAAATGTGAGAAATGGAGTGGGAAGCAAACGAGAGAGAAACCTTACTATAAATGAGAAATCGTTAAGCGGTATATGCGCGCGTATACTTTTGCCGATTTTTATATTGTTTATATAAGGGATTTCTGTGACGTAACGAGCACCCACATTGCGAGAATGAATAAATCAAAGTTTACGAGAGAATAAATTAGTTTCATACGGGATTATTTTAAAGAATGCAAAAATTTTCAATGAATGTATATACACAAATATCTGGATCATAAAGTTCCCAGTGAACAGCTAAGAGGCACTTATATGCGACAGATCTTTAATTTAAAGATCGTTGAAGATAAATCGGATTTGGTAGTTTTAACAAATGGGTATGAAAACAGGAGCCCTGGTAGCGATTTTATATCTTTTTTTTCTTATTGTAGTGGTCACTTGCCAGTAGATACTCTAGTTACGCTCAACATACGGTAAATAACATCAAAACGCTGGCATGGTGTCAAATGTACAGTATGTATGTGCAATACAGTACTGTACGTGTACCAAACATAACTGACATATTTCGAGCATGCTGATTTGATGATGATTTTGTAAAACTATCATATGATGCAATGAAGTTATCAATGGTTTATTGTTATCTTTAGTAACATAACCATTCTAGTCTTGTATTATGTGCGATTGATTTACGGAAAGGGCAATGCAAATGATAAAATGATAAAGCAGAAAGATCAAGGAAGTCATATTTGGTACGATTGATCTCGAAGGCAGCGTAGGGAACCTGGGAAAGTACATTCGTAACTCTTTTACATTTACCGGAAACGATGTAACCCAAACGATATAAAATTACTAAAGCGCATTTATGCTCAACCAACCAGCTGTAGCATACATAATCAAACAGGAAAAAAGCCGACTTTTGTTATTATGTTCGAGTGTGGAGAACTTTCAAGAGATCAGCATATTATATGCTTACACAGAATACCTTTTGTTCATTCAATTCTCCTGGGAGTAATTGTATATCCGTCGCAAACTTCTCGCCATCATGTGGCACTTTAAATGCGCACGATAAAACAAAACAATCAGCCAATAAATAATACAATGTTATACTGCAAATAATTTCTTACTGACCAATGGTCGTTTCCGTTACCGCACATATTACCTTCTTTCCGTTTGCTCCTTTTGTTATGTCGGTCGGTGAATGTGACACGTGGAGATTCATCCATGTGTTCACAATCTCTGGGCAGGGGTAAATGACCAATAAAAATCTCCACGCTAAGGTTTCAAGTGTTTACCGGCACTGTACTATACCCGCTATTTAATGCAGCTCAAAACTTTAAATGCGACAAAATGGTACAAATAAAGATTGGAACCGGGCCTACCTTTCCTATTTCAAATCGGATTTTGAATGAAAATAGGACCGATTTTAAATTCAGATGCAAAAAATTCGATTTCCTGATTAAAATGTGATTCTATTATTTGCAACAATAAATAATTAAAATCAACAAACAGTAACGGTAAAATGATTATTCATCATTCGCACAAATTGATCAGAATAACGTAACTGCGTAATAAATTCGGTGACCCTTTTTTATTAGTTTTATTATAAAATATGCTGTGTAATTGGATATATCGACTTTTTTTTTTTAAAAAAAAAATAATAATTATAATAATAATAATAATAATTCATATCAATTTTTTTTTAAATTGTAACACAATAGATATCATTAATGGTATTCTTTTACGCGAATTTAATTAGAATTACAGTATTTCCGCATTAAGAAACATCAATAGTTGCGAATAAAAAAATTGATCTTTTTTTGAAAAAAGAATTAAATGCGAATAAATATTCTTAGATCAAAACAAATATGATGATTAATATCATGTTTCATATTAAATCTCATATGGGTTTTTATTTAAAAGGAAATCCTTTTAAAAAAACAGTATCGTTGTATTCCATTTGTTATTGTTTTACTTAATACTTTAGAATAGATTAGATTGATTAATATATTTAAAATTTTTTTTTTTTTTTTTTTTTTTTTTTTTTTTTTTTTTTTTTTTTTTTTTTTTTTTTTTTTTTTTTTTTT